TTTTCGTCAAGGTTACCATGGCAGCCAAACTAGGGAGCTCAACTAGCTTGAGGAACGCTGGGACCCCGTCCTTACAACCACTGATATCATCGCCCCTGTAACCTCCGGTCGAGCAAATCTGCATGATTATTCTTTTATTCCTTTGTAGTCGGGCTGAGAGAGCTATTACGGTTATTGCATATTGATTATGATAACCTTTGGCAGGCCTATATGATTCAAAGCTTTAGGGCCGAGTCAATCAATAGAGCATTAGGATTCTCCAGCATGCGTGACTTTGTCCAGATAGCATGTTGTAGAGCTCATAGCACAGATTGAGACACGCAGACATGGCATACGTTGTATAGAACTGAATATGCACCATTTGGCGGATGAATAAACATTACGAGTGTCGCATGAACGTTGAACGAGAGCAGATATTTCAAATGAGAAGACGGGCGGCCGGCGGTAACTCTGCATCGGGGGATGGGGTGTAATTTGTGATTACCCAGCCAGTTGTGTCATCCACTCCCTCTGGAGTATATGCTTACAGCATGATGAAGCACGTGTCAAGGTCAGCCTGACGTGTTCTGGACGTACTCCAGCGCGTTTCTAATCACAGAGGGCCAGCGGAGTGCTCCTGGAGGCGTGCTTATCAGAAAAACATTTCCGCTCTCCTTCGCTTTGTGTCTGGCCATCCCTTTTCTGACAAATGTCTTTTCTCTTCTCGGCTGACTTGCTGCAATGGATTTGTTACACATGCGGCCTACACTGAGAGTAAAGTATGCCAACAATCCTGTGTGTGATTTCACAAATCACTATGGTGGTGTCATGGTATAGCGATTGTATCAGATGGTAATGGCATTATGTTTTTTTGTATACTGTGGGACTGAAGGATTACGGTATGCATTTACATGGCACTCAATGTATTTCTAAGAATTCCAAAGAACAAATCCATGGTGTAAATATGGCACCATGTCTAAAGATATTACTTTTTAACCAGTTCTGCAGTAGTAGATACTGCCGTGCATTTAAGGTTTAGGCATCCAGAATATACTGCTTTTACTGTCAGTGCCTCTCTCTCTCTTGAGTTTCAAAAGAGTTTCATTGTGCTTTTTTTTTTTTAAATGCAAAGGAGAGGAATATTCCTATCAAGAATATATCCTACAAACAAAACTCAGAAAAGTACTTTTTGTTCTTTCATCTTTTAAATAATGTGTCGGGATCTGGTATCAAAGAAACTTATAAAAACTGATTTGGTACAAACAGTACCAAACAAGCCAGAAGCAAAAAAAATATATATATGTACTCTACACCGGGGCCTGAAATATTTTATTAAATGTTTTGACAAAGACGACTATAAAAAAAACTGCTCTCCAATACTGCATTTATTTGATCAAAAATACAGTAATATTGCTAAATATTATTAGAATTAATTTTTTTTTTTTTTTTTAATACAATTTAAAATGTAATTTATTCCTGTGATGGCAAAGCTGACTTTAGTTTCCAGTAGTTACTCCAAGTCTTCAAAAAACATCTTACTGATTCCAAAATTTGGAATGGAAGTGTATAACTTAATGAAATACTAAATATATGAAAAAATATATATTACATTACATTATTATAATAAAAAAATTTAATTACATTAAAGCAAGCATTAAAACAGATGGTTTTGATTTTGCATTAAATAGTGAAAATGTTTATTTTCTGGTGTTTTGTGGGCTGTTTTGCTTTAAAAATAAGTATTTTTCTGTCAAATAAGTATCTTTTTCTGTTAAAGGTGATAAAAAAAATGTATGGAATAGCATGCATTAAAAAAAGTCCAATTAGCTGGCATATTGCTGAAAAATATGTCCTAAGAAATTACACTCAACCCTGGCAGTGAAAAAAAAAAAAAAAGTTCTGACTGTAAGACGGTGTAGTTTTAACTCTGGCAAAAGTTAACAAGACGTACAACACCATTAAAATACAACCCGAATTGTCACATGGGTTGTATTTGCGTTAAAGCATTTGAATGAGTTTGTGTTTTTTTGTTTCTTTCTTGACGTGCATAGTAGGCCTTGAGAGCCTGAGGCAGATTTCCTCCTCTCTGTGAATATATGTAAATGAATCATCCAAAAGGGAGCTGGGGTGATTGGTTGGGCCGTCAGTGGCCTGTCCTCTACAGTTACGGATGATGTTCTTAGACAAATTTCTGTGTTTGTGTATTCAAAACCAGCAAACTGAAGAACCACGTCAGTTCCTTTAGACTTGCGTAAATGTCTGTGAGAGACAAGTCAGATGATTCTTACATAGCAAATGTGTACGTTTTATAATCTTAGAATATTGCTGACCCATCAACCCTCATTAAATCAAAAAAGCAAACACTCTTTACGAGGACACAAGAGCTAAGCTACATCAGTGCTTATCAAACCCAACAAACACACGTAATCAGGGCTTTGGTTAAACAAATGAAGACAGTTAAATGATAGGCTCTGAACACTGAGGGTGGTATTCGACCAGACGACAGTTCTTCCTGGAAAATCTTCTTCAATTGAGTGTTACTACGAGGAGTGACCATTACTATTATGGATGCTTTTGCTGAATACTAGTCTCACAGTCATCTTTACTCTTCCCATAACTCTCAATGATGGGTGCCCTTTTTTATTATTATCGGTCACCAATGATTTATTTTTTTATTATTATTTTTTGGTCCATTTAATGGATGTCAATTCTTCAATTTGTGTTCTACAGAGGTCATACAGGTTTGGAATAATAAATGCAGAAATTAATTACATTTTATTTTTGAGTGAACGATCCCTTTAAGTTGCTAGTTTTTACATTAAACTAACTGACCGAAGGAAAAAATGAGAGATCGAAGCAAACATCTGAATGGTCATGTGTGCTGATGAGAACATTACGTTTGTTGCTTTCCACCACTGACAACAAGATTACAACCTATATATTCCAGCGCCAGATTGTCACTTGCATTCAGGTATAACAAAAGGCACGATGACCAAACTAAATCTAACTGCATTACCTGAGCTTTAGATTCATGAATAAACCAGTCCAACATTTCTTCACCTCATAAAATCCCAGTCATTATGAGACAGTGGGAAATGGAATTAGATTCTTCGGTCTCACTTCTCGACCTTTCCATGCTGTGTTTTCTACCATTTCAGCTTTATACGCTGATTAAGTGATCAGTCTCTCTCATACGGGACTGGGTTTCAATGCGCCTCCGGGCTCTCCGCCAAATGCACCATCCGCCAACCCAACCCAACCTAACAATGACAACCATTCAATATTTACCTTCAGGCCCTGTTGGAACATGACCACTCAACTGTCAGTGTCACAGTCAAGGCGGCCCTAGAGGAAAAGCTTAAATCTTAAGATAATGCTGTGGCTTAAAACTCAAATCAACCTTGATTGTGCCTTTGACACAGCTGCATAAACAGTAGTTTCCTAGGGCACAGGAAAAGATAATTCAGAGCTCATTCGCTCTCAGAAGCTTTGATACTGCGGACGTGAAAGCGTGTGCATTAGAGGAAAAGCACCACATGCTCCGTTCTGCAGGAGATCAGAGACAACAGTGGCTCTGAGTCTCACCTGAGCTGTCACAGAGGAGAACTGAGATTACCTGACTCGCTCCACATCCTTCAAGCTGAGAAGTTCTTCAGTTGAACTGGGAGGTCATATACTTGAAGAACCATGTGGGAGAGAAAAACAGCGGCTATCTTTGGATGAGCAGTTCACTAAAATTGTCATACTATTTCTAGTGCGCAGTATGTATATTATGTCTAGCATGCAAATGTTCTGCTTGTATATAGAATATATATGCTAAAATGTGCAGTACAGGACAGAGCACACTCTGAGGAACACTATATACTACAATGCAATGTGCTAAAAAAATGTATATTTTTGATGTGACGATTTAACCATTAGTAGTAATGCAATCTTTACATGGTTTTTAACTAATTTGTTTGGGCAAAAATACACAAAAATGTTAAAATTGCAAAAAGCATACAGTTGGCATGCAGCTGTTTACAGCTGGCATACAATATTACTTGAAAAGTGGATTAAAATAACTGTTTTACAGAGATTTGCAATAGAGAAAATGTCACCACTTAAAATACAAATGAGGCATGTAGCACCACTGAGATTTTTTCTATCAAATGTAGTTGACTACTTTACCTATTCTAGCAAGAAATGATAAAAGCATTAATAGCAGAATTAAAATAGTACAAAAAATGGAAACAAAAAAGATATATTTTTCCTCGCTTTGATATGATTAAAATAGTACAAAATGGACACAAACAAAACAAAAAATATATGAAAATTAAAATAATAATAATAATAATTAATATTATTATTTAAAAAAAGATGTATTTATTTTATAGCTTGGATATTATATGGCACTAATGGGCTAATGCTCTTGGAAACACTTTTTACATGTTTTTACATTTTATGTTTACAAACTCCATAGAATCATACACTTTCCATTTGAAGAAATTATGTTCCAAGCCCCTCCCTCCCCATGCTAAAGTAAACTTTTCATTTCCTAGATGATAACCTCAGGACAACTGCTGAATTAACATGCAATGTGAGGTAATGTCACAACAGTGTAACATACTACTGTTACTGTTGCATACTGCACACTGTTTTTACATAACATGAAAAAAAAATACTAGGTAGTATATTGTGCAGCACACAGTATACTAGTATTACATTTCATTTCATTGTGTTTTCAATCTTTTCCCGTAGCACACAGTGTCAAGCGGTCGTGGTAAAGTATTGCCTTACAGCAGGTATTCCCCCCGTGCAGCAGTACTTTAAGCTGTCACTCAGTGGACCGTGTGAAATGCTTGCTGGGAATTTTTCAGAAATGTGATACAATAACAGTATCTGGGATATACACTTAAGAGGCTTCATTTAATCTTCATGGTGCAGACAGCAATTTGTAACATCATGGAGTATGCATCACACTCACCGGATACTATACTAAACGCATGTCTCTCACTGATGGTACCACTGGAAGTGTTTACCTCTTCATTGCGTTGTCACTGCAGGCCATTCTGTTCTTCTGTTTGGGTTGAAGCATTTAAGATTATTTATTGCCGAAACCTGTTAGAGGGTCACAAAGAATGTCAGTTTTGTTTCTCTGCTCGGAAATTGTCTTCATGTTATCAGATTATTTCTGACAAGCTTCTTAGCTTTCGAATTGTGTGCATGTTGTAATGATGTCAGTGTTTTCTGTCAGGCTTTGTTTTTTTCTCTCTCTCCTTCTGTTTCTCTGCTTTCCAATGACTCCAGAGACTATTCTCTTTCCATATCAAGGAAGCCGCATAAATGCTGCAGTTTGGGAGAGACTTTTTACGTAACTACATTTCTGAAAGTTGTTACAGAAGTTCAGCTGCAATAAAAATAACATAACATTTCCAGTAACAAGCTAATTTTGCAGATGAGCAGCTGCAGAGTGACAAAATGCTATAATAGCCAATTTTTGTGGCATAATATTGTACATACAGCTTTGCAGCCACAAAAACTTAGGCAATAGTCTTATACATGTATCATTGGAATATCTGTTTTGTTTTAGTTTACCCACAAAAACAACAGGTTGAATAAACATTATTCATTTTAGGGTGAACTATCTAAAGCATGCTAAAGCTAAGTTGAAACTAACAAGCTAACTGAAATTAACCTTTTTCATTTTGCTCAAAACATTAACAATTTCAACACCCACTCTCATGTAAAGCATGATGAGAACTCGAACTGCTGGGATTGCAAGCAATTAAATTAAGTTGTAATAAGATTTTCAATAATTGTCACATTAGTTCATTTTAAATATGTGTTCTCATCACTAAAGATGTATTATATGATTGGTACAACCTGTGGGCAGCGGGTGGTACTGCAACAAGTGTCAAAATGAAAGGACGCCAACTTATGTAGAGCGACACGAATCAACGTGTTTCCAGGCCTGTTAGCAGTCTGCAAGAAAACAAGTGGTATCCATGTTTTGTCTTGCCACATTCTAGTTTGATTGCACTTTATGTTTGATGTTGCTACTGTTTTGCATCTGAATTTCGCCTCAGGTATCTATAAATAATGTTTAGATATGCTGTTTAATTATGCTACTTCTATAATGGTAATTCATAATTGTTTTGGCTGGCAGGGTATTTGCCAACAGCAAATACCAGGTGCTTTCAGACAATGGCAAAGGTTCAAAATAACACCACATCCTATTTAAGGACCACATAACACTTTGGAAAATACCATAACAAAAATTAAATACAATTACATTTCATTCATATCTTTGTGCTAAAATTACTGTATAAGCTTGGTTATAACTGAAAATGTATTAAATCAGACCTAATGTGACCTTTAAGTTTTTGTTTTTTTTCCATGTTGAACTTGATGGACGCAAATCAAAAGATAATTCATAATCAGTCAGTCATCAGTGCAAAAACAGCTTCACTTTATGTAACACTTGAGTTAAAAAAGCCAGTAATATATTCCAAATATGATTGGATGAGCCACAACTGAAACCATCATAAAATACCCAAAATACATACAACAGTGACCACAAATCAGCTGAATTCCAAGGTAAGTCAAGTTTCGATGTTGTTTGGCAATTGAAATCAATCTAGAATTACATCTTGTTTACGCCACACACAGGCAGAGTGACGCAAAACTACATAACTTCCATTACAATCAACATCAGTTGTCTGCAACTGCATGCAGACTAGTTTTCAGCTTGATGTTAGATTTTTAAAGACATGTTTGTGTTTACTCCAATTGCCATGATGACGACAGCATCACACAGGCCACAAAACATAACTGGAGGGCACATGTGCCCTGGGTTTCTGTCAGTACCACACAAGAGTGTGTAAAATTAAAACTTGTGTAAAATGATATTAAGTTTAAATCCCAAGTTGTTACCTTTTGCAGTACAGTCATGCTGGATGAAAGGTGACTTAGAAGGTTATAGAACAAAGAAAAAATGAGAAAACAATCATCTAGTGGGGAGAGTTTAAAGGAATGTAAAGATGATAAGCAAATGTTTGTCGAGGTGCAAGTTTTAACGGTAACCTCAGATCCGTCTCCTGTGTTTATACCATCATCTTTTCCCAAACAGCCACTAAACAATTCGTTAAATCAAACAAGACATTACAATAATTAAAGTGGGTGGATTTAAAAGGTAACTGAACCCACCACACCTCTCTCACAGCTCAGTATTTACATTTAAACAACAAGCCTCAGGTGGATCTCTATTTACTCTTCATGCATTATTTATTAATTCCTTCTTTTTAGCGGTTACAGCTCTTACAGGGGAAGCTCACGCCAAACTTACTGCCACCACTTCCCATCGAGTTTCAGTAGTGCCGCAAAAATGGTCTATTTGGAAACAAAGATGCATTTTATTGTCGAGGCAAAGTATGTAGTGATTATTTTTATTGTAGACAATAACAGTCTGTTTGCTCTGCATTGTCATTTCAAATGGCAGCCGAGCCATTTATACTATCAGTGTTTATGTTCGCAGTCATGTTTATGAATACGAAGTAATTTATGCTCATAAAAGCAAAAGGGCTGTGTAAATAAGAAATGCTTCAATTGTGGGTGTCTTTTATCTGCATGTTTGTACATTTATTTACATCAAACAGGGGTTGACTGTGTGTAGTAAACATTATTAAAACATGAACATACAGGTTTCAGTCAAAGCCAAACACATTTTTCCATTGTAGTCGGTGTTTTTGATAGTAAGAAACAACATTGATGGTGTCATTCTAATATTTACCACACAACCAATTGGATAAGCAAGAAAACCAAATATTGAGTCTCGTTCGAAGTCGTAAATGAGAGTGCACTCTTTAACGTGAAATTGACAGCAGCATTAAGAGCAGGATGTCCACTAAAAGGAAATGACATAGTAGGCCATCAATCGACAGATTGCTTTAAAGATTTGTGAAGATGCTATGGTGTAATTAAAAGCACTGTCCATTAAAGGTATTGTGCTGCAATTAAATTATGCTTAATTAAGCCGTACATTGCGATTTAGAGGAGGGCGGGTGTGCTAGTATGCCTTTTTTACTATATATAAAGTTGTTTGCTGGAAAGAGAATATCTAAACGGTGGTATAAATCTATTTCAGGCATCTTCAGCACATAATATACCGCATGGACGAGGACTCAAGATGCCTACTGTTTTTTACCTGAGGCCTATCTCACCTGAGGCAACACTGCAGGCCTGAAAGAACAGCAGATAAGAATGTACAACAGCATGAAAGAATGGAGAAGAGAACCGGTGGTTTGAATGGTTAGGTGTGAAGGCAGGAGGATAATGTCTTCCTCCAGTACTCACGTAGAAAAGAATGTGTGTTTTTGTGTTGAGCGGTTAGGTCAAGTCCACACAGCTCAAGTTCACTCAATAGTGCACATAAATGGTTTCAGAATCAGACTTACAGTACACTGGTTGCATTGTAGGCTTTTGATTCACTATAAAGAACCAGCTCATAAGAGTCTATTGTTTGTTAATGGGGTTACACAAGTTGTTTAGCATAATACTCCATACAGACTGCAAACTCGCATTCATTTGAAAAATTAATAACATGATTTCATAAACTATGCGGCTGAGTGAGTTAGTTCAGCAGAACGCAGTGGCATCTGCAGGAATTGCTGTACAAATTTGTAAGAGATCGATCTAGGGATTTTAAGTATCGATACGGAGATCAGCAAGGACACACTAAAGTGATCAAAAGTGAGAGTCAAGACATAATGTAACAAAATATTTCTATCACAAATAAATGCTGTTTTTTTTTTTATTTATTTCTAATCAGTTAATCCTGAAAATGTATCCGGATTTCGCCCAAAACTATAAGCAGCACAACAGTTTTCAATACTGATAATAAAAAGAAATGTTTGAGTGAAAAATCACATACCAGAATTATTTCACAAGCATCATATGACACTGAAGACTGGAGTAATGACTGCTAAAAATTCAGCTTTGCTATCACATGAATAAATTATGTTTTAAAATATATTAAAATAGAAAACATTCAATTTCAATTCTAATATTATTTCACAATAGTACTACGTTTACTGTGTTTGTGATAAATGCAGCATTGGTAAGCAAGAGACCTTTGAAAAACAATAACACAATCTTACCAACATCACATTTTTGAACAGTAATGTACATTTTTATCCAGTCCAGGGTCTGCAACAAATTATGAAAACAGATAAACCATCTAGGAACTTATCGGCAAAATAAAGCTTGAATGGAGGCTGTATGTAGATAAAGAGTAGCAGAAGACTTTCAATACAGAGCTGCCAGGCAAAGACTGTATTAAAAAAAAATCTATAATATATGGCTTTCCAGCTGATCAATGAGCGGCATTGTATGTGAGATGCATTTGCTCTGCATACTTGAGCTTCTGTACTATGCACACACATACATCAGCACTGTAGACATCTAATGTTTGCACTGGATTAGACACACAAAAGCCCCGATGACATCACATCCTCGCTTGAGCTGGAACACAAAGGTAGCGTACAACAGACGGGCGGCCATTAACATTACAGAGGGTGCTGAAAGACAGAAAGTGTGTGCGCAACTCAGAAGGAATGCAATTTCATTGTCTCGCTACATTTATGCCGCTATAATGCTCCATCTTTCTTTCTAATATGACGGCATTAAGAGTCGCTCCCAGGGCAAATGCCCAACACATGGTATTCTGTCAACAAATTTGAAGCAGCGCGAGTTATAATCAGCATATCAGCCCCTACAGAATCTCTCTCATGTCTACAGAGCGGAATAAAATCTCGACAAGTGTTTAATTACATTATTCCTTTCCCCTCCATCCTAATCCATGTAATCTCCTCTCTCTCCAACTCTTTCTCTTATCCAGGAACTTTGATGTTACCCGCACACACACTCCAGATACCCTTAAGCCCCGGTGGCTGAGGACCAGAAAGCGTCTGATGGCGTGCCTGATTGCTGCAGATTCTGCCAAACTTCTGATTACATCCCCCCGCACGTCTGCCCAGCGCCGCCTCCCGAAAGGAAGCGATCAGGAAGTGCGGGGTCTCGCGAATGTGGCTACCACATGGCGCTGATTGTATTGCCGCTGA